CTATCACATAACTGAAGCATAATAAATGCAACAATAAACACCACAACCAGAATGTCAATGTCAACTGTGTGTATTAAACGCCGCCTTTGATCAGCCTGGTCAACAGAATCTCAAGATATCTCTGTCTTATATGTGCTGTTGCATAATTGTCTACAGCCGTCAGCAGATCGATGCCCCTGTGTACACAAATATCCTATTCTGGATTTGACAAAAAGTGAAAGAACACAAAAAAAAAGACCCTTTCAGATGCACTGGGCGTATAGTGCTCAACCTATATTTTATAGACCAATTTGCATTCGGTGGGTGATGTGGTCAACATCACGCCGACTGCCTTTACTTCCCATGACTATAACTAATATCCATTTTAGATTTCTAGATATAAAAATCATAAATAAATGTGTTTTGAAATATGGAAAACATTCTTTTCAAAAAAGATAAATTAGATGAAACAAACACCATTCTATAGCGTGTATTATTCATACAATCAATGACCAAACATATACTAACCTGGATGGGTCGGGCTGAGGATGCCATCAAACATGTTTCCGCCTTACTGACATTAATTTTGAAAATGAATGGATAATTATGCCTCCCTCTCCAAACATTAATATTACAGTCCATATCACACTTGACGGAAGCTGGAAAGAGCAGATTCCTGACATTATTGGCACTTTAGTCAGAACACTGATTGACGAAAACACAGATGAAGGTGATGCTGTAGTTTTCACAGATGGGTCAGTAGTTAGGGGCAAGCTCAAAGAGGAAAACCATCAAGGAGATGAATGGCGCCTTTTCTGTTACAACTAGGAGCCAATACAATGGAAACTGGCTGTAACAAGGGCTTTAGCAAGCTTGGTACTCAAAAGTTCACACATGTGACAATACGCTCGGTGATTTCAGAATGTCTTTCCTCAACCTACTTTTATTTGTATGTATTTTGAAGTATACAGACAAATAGGGATTTGGATACATCCTTAATCTAAATAGGATGACCACACCACACCTTTAATTCTCCTGGACCGTTGGTCATATCAAACACTAAAACTTTTTCCCAGATGTTAAGTGTTAAGGTACAGAGATAAGACTGACCAAGCAGACTTACTGACTGGAGATTTGCACACCATTACTTGTGTCAGATAGTTTATTCCCCCTGCCTGACCTTCAGGAACAGATAACAAGGGCTAATTGCCATTATCTCTCCCCTGAGGTTACCTAACTCGACGCGGCAGGGTCCGACGGTCACTATTGACACAGTGAGCAGAAAGTGTTAACAGAAGAATTGACACCGTCTGATTTATTGTGATGGCAGGGTGAAGTAGACTGGAGGTGTACTTGGCCTATTAGCTTTGACCAGCTTAATTGAACCAGGAGATCCTAGCGTGGGAATTCAAACAATAATTGTACAGTTCCCTGACTGACAGCGAATAAACTACCCGCAGGGAGGAGCTGTGATATCCCTGAATGAGAAATGATTTTAGGCGTAATGTAGAGGAGCTTGATAAAAGTTATAAAGTGGTGAACTTAAGGTCTGGTAAATGAGATCCTGTCTAGCACATGCCATCTGTTGGGCTTAAACTAAGCTTGAGACAGAACTTTTGGCATCGTGGTTTCATTTTTCCAGCTAAGATCTAAATTAGGTTCAAATCTATATTTTATGATAGAGTTCTAACTGTCTTTTTACTCAAGTGTGTGTCTTCATCACTTTGTAGTACTCCTAGGCGGACATTTCTTCATTCTCGTAGGGCACTGTCACATTGCTTTATATCCTATTTGATAGTGTCATGAATGTTTTTTCGTGCACGTGTGTTTCAATGTTGTAAAACCTAAATGTTGTTGTTGCCATTGAAATTTAATGAACTATCATGTTTTTGAAATCACAAGCGTGAAGATAACTTTGGCAATCTTTTCACGTGTGGTTAATGTGAATCTGTATTACATACAGCTAACACACTGAAATGTGTTTAACTCTCGGGAGGCTAACGCGGAGATTGATCCCGGAGAGTAAATCCACGAGATTTGGTATTTGATTCGCCCCAGAACTATTGTTAGCATTCTGGGCGCGTCGATTGTTCCAAGCATAGATTCCAGAACTGGTTCTGTCTGACTGATTGTCATTTTGAGTCTGTACGAGAGATGGCACCTGACGTAGAAGACTTGACTATCATTACAGGACGTGTAGAGGAAGGCAGAAGATGTAACAGTTGGAATGTGAGACATAAGCCCTTTCAAATTTGACAGGAGTGAATGTGAGCATGAGGGAGAGATGAAATGTTTTATTTAAATAAACATGCTTGATGTTAGTATAATATACATGCTTAGTGTACATCTAGAGCAGATACTACAAATATGCGCTTGTTTCTTCATTCTCCAGTTCCCACATTGGGCAGGGACTAGTAGGCATCCATTATTTGCCGACCGTCGAGTGTAACGACCTGCAGAAAGCAGTGAGGACGACAAAACTGGAAAAGATAGACAGGGTCTCTCAAGCCGAGAACTGTCCAAAGGTTTGTTACTTTCCAATACCTTTATGATTTCATCATTCACATAACCTAAACTCTACTAGCCTAAACAAGTTCATTTTATTTTAATTTCGATTTATTCAAAATAAATCATGTGTGATGAGTTTTCATGACAGTTGAGTAAATTGTGTACTTAGGTTCAAGTGTCTTTGTGCATATTAGTTTACTTCAGCTAACAAATATTTAAATCACTTGATGGGGGCTTTTAAGTAATGCCAGGAGAGGAGACCAGTCGCAGGGGTTAACTGAGCACCTGGATTATATCACAGTGGGTTTATCCAGATATCTATCTATCCCTTCTCCTACTCCTGTGGATACAAGTACAGCAACTTTCATTTCATGGAACGAGCCACTCGCTGTTTTCTTGGCTATCCAGGACTATCTAGGATCAACATAGCTTAGATAATAGTCCAGTTTCTCACGTGGGTGGGCATTGTTAAGGTTCAAACCCACACCCTCACTATATCAGTGTATTTACCCACGTGGGCGCGCGACAACACACGTATGAATATGCTTTAAAAAATCCAAGATGAATTTATCAGGCAAGAATGGATTGAAACACTAAGCACTTCACGAATATCTGCCCTAACTTTTTTCTTTGTGCCAGGTCATGCGGGTGTTCAAGGGAACGAGCATGCAGACTATCTTGCTGACACCGCTGTTGCTATGGCTGGCCCAGTACTGGATAGAAAGAATGTTTTCAATGCCATGCGCTGCCCTTACCGTACCGAGGAGCACGCCAAAGGACATGACTCCACATCCCTGTCTAGACTGATGGACATGGTGGTGCAGCCTGGAGCTGCAAGAAATGAACATTTCACTAAGGGAACAAGAAGTTTCCTTAACCAACACAGAATAGGCGTCATCAGTCGTTTTACACTTGTGGAGCTTTTGACGAGGAGATCGGAGCACCTACGGATATGTCCGGAGTGCTATGAGGATAATTCTTTCTAATCACTATTCACTAATCACAGATACTAACCACACATTTCTGTGAAGAATCTGATTTATGATACTTGTTACTCTGGCAAGTGTGGTGCATTGTGCATTCAAACGTTTTTCACAAAATTCATTTGAAAAAAAAAATGAAAGCATTATGTAACAACATGTGCACACCCCCCCCTCCCCCATACCCTCCCACCTTCCCAAATATCTAGAACCATACAATTTGTAAAATATTCATACCAGTTCTTATTCATTTGAAGAAGTTTTTCGCAAAATTCGTGTAAAAAAAAGATTTATGTAATAACATGTGCACATAATTTCCCCCCCCCCCCCACCCCACATGTCTAGAACCACATAATTTGTAGAATATTGGTACCAGTTCTTATTTATTTGAATATGCAAAACTAATTATACACATTTATACACATGTTTATTCCAAAATAAAATATCAGTATCAATTATTGGCATAAAATGAAAGCTAAAACAATAATACTCCTTCAGCATGCAGACAAGTGACGCAAATATAAGTTTCAGAACAGTAGTTATTATATCCATCGTAAGCAGAAACACGGAGAATAGCAGAAACATTTAATTACTATTAAAATACAAGCATTGATTTAAATGAGTGTCTGCGCAGAATATTGGAAATTCAATGGTATAACAAAATCACTAATGGTGAGATTTAAGGGGAGAAGGAAATGAAAGCTAGTGATTTCAGAGAAGAGGAAAAGTCGTAGGCACAGGATAGGACATACAAATATTGAAACATAATTATGGTAATAAGACTGGATTATTCGTGTACTGGAATCCATAAGCTCAAAGAAATAATATCAGACAAGACACACACGCACGCACTAACCCACGCGCGCGCACACACAGGCACACAGAGTGAGAGGTGGAGAAAAGAATTATAGACTTTGGTAAACTCACAAAACATGTGGGAAAGACATGGAGTGCCATGCAAAGTATGGCAAAATTGAGGGTGGTATTTTAGTTGAGCAGGAACATAGGTCTGATCGTTAATTCCTTGATTCCCTTGATTTTACGGGATTTTAATGTGCATACATGTATCATTCATTACAATATTATTCTGATAGTCTCAGTTGATTAACAGTTTAATTGTATCTGCCATACATTTAATGGCCATGGACACTGTGTGTCTGCGAAATAAGCAAAGAACACGACTGGCTCACAAACAAATGAGTCAGTCTATCAAAAAACATAGGACAACCGCAGGGATTAAAGACAGAAGACGCATTCAAGATTTTCTGGGCATGTTGTGATAAGAAATAAACTTGTAACTGAACGCAACTGGAAACAAGAAGGAGAAAGGGGCAAAGCGGATACATAGATATCCATAATGTCTGGATAGTATGACCACACGGCATGGATGAAACAAGAGCACAGACATGATTCATGATTCTGGTGATTGTGGTTAATGGCCAACAATGACAGTCAATGATTGAAGGCATAGTATATGCTTATTAACAGTCAAACTGAAGTTACCCAAGTTCTGTCTCATGCTGCAGATATTCGTCATACAACACACGTGTTATCACCGTACAATTTATAAGTGAGTCTTATAAATATTAACATAAACCATTGTGCTCCGACAAGCAGCACCGACGCACTGGTCACTGCAGGGGTGGAAGATCGCAAACTGCCGATCCGAGTGGAAGGATGTGCGGGCTGAACTGGGGCTAGTGTAAAAACCTCTGGCTTTTTCATTTCACAAAGGAACTGCATAAGAATATGAATGACACCGTTGCTAGCAATCAGGTTCCACTGCTTGACTTTACTGTGGACACTCTTGTAGACTAGGTAGACGGCTGAGGAAGGATAAAACATTGGACATCAAGCTATGACTACAAACGCAACAAGAATAGGAAGGATAGTAATGCAATCAAACAATGAATATACTATAGAATTGTGGCGGCAAAATCTTCCTAATGCACTTTGTCTGGAGCAGGCATGTGTGTTGAATCCTTTCTGTTTTCTTAAATGATCATCAAGTTGATATTGCTGACATTATTTTGTATGTGGCGCAGCCATTATTTTTTTTTCTCAAGCGGTGGAAGCATAGCGTGCTTGCCTGGAGATCAGTGGCCCAGCTTCAGTTCCTAGCAGTGAGTGGCCCACAGATTCTGGGGTCAACCCATTCTGAAAAGTTCATACCAAATATAATCCAGAATTCTTTAGGATTTATTCTAAAAGGAAAGGTGCTAAGTTAGGGGACTAAACACCACAGCCCATATGCCATGTCTTTAAAAGCTAACTCTAGTATCTACGGTGGGACTACCTGAAGTCTGTTGTACATTTATCTAATATTCCAATATAAAAATGATTTACATATAACATTCACAAAACTATAAAGTGTATGTGCCTATTTACTGTAGTTTTAAGGAGTGACCTTTGCGAACCCAGAGTTCTTTCATTGCTCTGTGTAAAACATATGCTTTCATTTAGAAGAATGGCACACAAACATATACACTTGGTTTTTCACAAATATTATTCTTTGCTTCCAGGAAGTTATCCCGAGCAGTAAATGCCGCTAGTGTCATACCGATCACATCACATATCAAGGTTTGATTAGTTTATACAAAATATAGTTATAGCACCGAATGTCACAATGTGTTTCTTTGTGTCTTACCTTCATTCTGCACATCTAAAGTAACTTCTTCGGACAAAACATCTGGTGAAATGTAGCCATTTCTTAAATCATCAAAGTAGAGCGTTGACCCATTGATGCAGTGGCGCCAGAACATTCTAATGAAAGAGGAAACATCATCGTATAATGTCAAAATGAGTTTTTTTTTTTTTTTTTTTGGTGTCTGTACGGGTTTACCCTGTGCCGAGTAGTTATTACACTACTTAATTATTGACCTTTACAGATTTATAGATTATAATTGATAATTATCGGAAGTTCTGCCCCCACCCACCCCCACCTTTTTTCCAACCTAGGAAAACTCAGTAACAATCAAAATACAAATAATTTTCACAAGGCTTAGACGCAAGACAAGTCCAATTTCACCTATCAGGTGTACTAGGTATATGATGCTAGCATTATATTCGTAGATCTATCGTCCCCAATGTGTTATCAGTATCATTTCGGCAGCCTTTATTTTCTAAATTTTCTGATACTAAGGTTGGGATGGATTAACGCAGATCAGTCAATAAAATGTCCGCATGAAAGAAGGTTCGAACATATGACTACCAGGGAAACAGACAGCCCACTAATCACTGCTACTGTGAATCCTGATATTTGACCTCTTTCAAATACGAAAACTATTTTACAATTAAAACACACTTGGCAACACCAGCTTTTCAGTTAATGTTAAATTCTGTTGAGCTGAGTTGAGAACCAACATCACAGCACTCAGGGCATTTACATGAGCGCTTCTTCCACATCTTCAGCAGCCAGAGCAGAGTTCCAGTACTGAAGGTATTACTGTTAAACTAAATTATCATACCTGTGTCTCTCTTTGTAGGGAAGATTCTGTAGCTTCTGTAACTGGTTGATGTTGAAGTAATCTAATGCCAGGTCATCGGGCATGAAGAATGTGAACGACGTGTTGGTGGCCCCCAAAACGTCGACTTCGGAATGGTGCACAAGCTGTAGCATTAGTTCAAATGAGGCACTGTGTGGCAGACAATAAAACAATTAACAAACGTAGACACACTGACCACACATCACAAACATTCTTCTTCTTCTTCTTCTTCTTCTTCTTCTTCTTCTTCTTCTTCTTCTTCTTCTTCTTCTTCTTCTTCTTCTTCTTCATCTTCTTCTTCTTTCTTTTTTCTCTTCTTCTTCTTTCTTCTTCTTCTTCTTCTTTCTTCTTCTTCTTCTTCTTCTTCTTTCTTCTTCTTCTTCTTCTTCTTCTTCTTCTTCTTCTTCTTCTTCTTTTTCTTCTTCTTCTTCTTCTTCTTCTTCTTCTTCTTCTTCTTCTTCTTCTTCTTCTTCTTCTTCTTCTTCTTCTTCTTCTTCTTCTTCTTCTTATGCCGCTGCTGCTGCTTCTTTCCAGTTTGTGATTCTAAGTACTTAAAGTCTGCATATCCACGGTCGGTTACCAAGAAGTCAAATTAGCCTGAGCGATTAACACAGCTTTATCGAATACATACACACACAAACACACAAACACACACACACACACACACACATATATATATATATTTGGTTAGATTCTTTGTATTCCACATTTGTACTTGCAAGTATTTATTTCAAGTATTTAAACAAATCGCATAGATTTAACTGCCAAGGCAGAAATGTGGAGTTTGAGGTATTTGTTGACGTTTAATAATGCACATATAGCATATATATATATATATTTCCGTCTTTTGTGTCTTTTTTACAGTGGGTAACAAATCTTGTCTTTTCAGTTTCTGGTCCGATAAGACTTGACTGGACTTTTGGTTCACGTTGTCACGTGAGGAGTTTAGGTAAAGTGTGGTGTTTTTTTAACTTTGCCTAATGTTTTTACCGTTGTCCAAGACTTTCTGTTTTCCAGTTGCCCTCTGTAATGAAGAAGATTTGAATCCTTCAGCACTAAAAGGTAAATTAGAAGGGTGAAAAAACCATAGTGACTTCAAACCAACCGTTTTAAAATAATCTCATATACAACTTGTAGTAGGAAGTACTAGGGACCATTCATACACTGTGGCAGAAATCCAAACTCAATTTTCAGTTATTTCACTCCACAAGTTGCCCCAGATAACGACAGGGTCAGTGTCTACTTTACCCAACCGCCATTTCTGTGGTCAAAAACTAAACGATGGGAGGTAGCTTTCAAGATTCTATGTAAATCCGAGAACAGTGAAGTGTGAGAAAACTGATACCAACACATTTCTGGATTTGACATTTAGTTACTGACTATCAACATGGAATGTTACTTGGTCGTTTCCCCAATGCCATGGTCGAGATTCTTCATGGCTTCTGGTTCACTGCGAAACTGCCACAAAGTAAAGCCTCATGTATTTAAAAACCGTTGATAAGCCATCATCTTGCTAGGCACATTTGCGCATTCCCATTTTCCACGTGCTTTTTTCAGAACTGTCATTTTGTTTTTAAATCTGTACGTAGAGGTCAACGTAGAGGTCTCCGAAGCGCAGCTGGAGAGGTCGGATGGCAGAAAGCTCAAGAGGCCAAATTTTCTGCCATGTCCTTTTTTTATTCTCACGAACTTGCCAGATTTTTAGTTCCCTTCGTTCCAGATTAAAATTATTCAACAGGCGTTAGCCACCCGGCTTCAATCGATGTTTCCTTTTCACACCTTTGGCACTTTTGAGGCATATGGGTGCCAGATCAAAATTGTTTATTAATCAATCGGCATTACATGGGTGATATGGTGAAAATCACGCACACTTTTGCATGCAGTCTAAACACATATGATCATCTGGTAGGTACAAATAGAGATAGACTAAGCATATTAGCTACACTTTATATTAGTTACAACAATATAATTATTTCTCCAGTTCACTGTTGATAGAGAATGTCTGCTGACAGGTGTTATAAACTGATAGTTTAATTAAACAACAAATTAAGGGTAATCTGTAATTACCTGAGCCCTGGCTCTCTTTTCAATCTCTCCATCACAGTAAAGGGGGAATAATTCAGGAAGCCATCGATGATATACACAATTCCATCGGTACACCCAAATGGCCGTCCTGTGACATCAAGTGGTTGAATGTCGAACCCCACACCTACATACAGTTCTGTCAGGAGTTTACAGCTGATAGAATTAACAAAACATTCCTTGTAGGAAAACAATAGAGGGGTCACAACAATTTCGTTTCTATTAATCTGATCTTTATAACGTGTTTTCAATTATGTATTCGTTTTCTTTTCTATAAAACATTAAAGATAATCCGTTATTCAAAAACTATTAAACAAACAGTTATCTCCTCTGCAATGAAGGCTTATACAGTACATCTCTGATCCTCTACCTATCGCTCTTTCTGCACGTTTCTCAGACAGACTGCTGTGTCGTGCCTCTTCCTGTTTTCTTTTGATTGATAACGCGGTGTACACTTGCTTGCTTGCCATGGGCTAGCTATCCCTTCCAACAATACAAAGTAACAATACAATGTCACACACACGCACATCCGCACACACGCACACACACACACACGCACGCGCGCTCACGCACGCACGCACACACACACTCGCACGCACGCACACACGCACACGTACACACACGCACACACGCACACACACACACACACATACACGCGCGCACACGCACACACAAATTATTCCACACTGACCTTCCTCTCGCCTGCTGATTTTGAAGGACAAATTGTGAGAGCTACGAGAGAAATAATCCGCGTTTGGGTACTGACGTAGAAACATGCCATCCAGTCTTACATTTGGAAGAACATGACCATAGAATAACTGAGGAATAAAATGCACGAGTTAATAATTTTATCGTTTTCCTACTTTAATTTGTAAATTTTTATAACATTTTACTGTATTGGGCAAATACGCTTGTTATTAAAACAAAACCAGAAAAGTCAATAAGGAAACTCGGTTAACAATGTGGTAATTACTAACTTGATTTAGCTTGATCTAACAAAACTAGAACTGAGCAATAAAATGCCTAGGTGAATAATCATGTCGTTTAAATACCGTAATTTTTTTAACGCTAATTTTTAATTGGATCCTATAAGCTATCTTTAAAGAAAGTCAATATGGAGATTCAGTCAACAACACACTAACTACTAACTTGGTCTAGCAAAACGCTATTCCATCTTGAGACCAAGACTTAGCGTTCAATCAAAAAGTTATACAGACATCAGACCCATCATCTGTTGCACAGTTGAACAGGGAAAATATACAGGATCCGAAACGCTTTGTAAACCGTGGGCTGCTCATTAGACTACAGAAACAAATTTGATTACAACGAGCCATAGACTACAGCAACACACATAAGAGAGATACTGAACGTTTCTAGTATATAGTAGAATAAACACGCAAAGAATGCAAGAAATAACGAGAAAGGAAGAGAAGAAAGGCAGATAGAGACCAAAAAAAAAAAAAGACAAAGTGAAAGAGTAGGGAAGAAAAAAATTATGGAGGATGAAAGAAATGACAGAAGAAAAGAAGGACGATGGAAATGAAGAAATAAGACGTAATGAGCAAAGAAGTAAAGAAGAAAACAAGATGATGGAAATAAATAAGAAAGGAGAAATCAACAAAAATTAAGGACAGAAAACGCCAGAAAAAAAAAAAAAAAAAATAAAGGTAGAAATGTAGGAATGCATGAAAGAAGGAAGGAAAAGGAGAGACAGGAAGGACAAAAGACGAAATGAGGAAGAAAGGGGAAAAAAGAGGATGAGTCGGAGGAAAAGAAGAAGAAGAAGAAGAAGAAGAAGAAGAAGAAGAAGAAGAAGAAGAAGAAGAAGAAGAAGAAGAAGAAGAAGAAGAAGAAGAAGAAGAAGAAGAAGAAGAAGAAGAAGAAGAGAAGAAAGAGAAGAAGAAGAAGAAAGAAGAAGAAGAAGAGAAGAAGAAGAAGAAGAAAAGAAGAAGAAAGAAGAAGAAAGAAGAAGAAGAAGAAGAAGAAGAAGAAGAAGAAGAAGAAGAAGAAGAAGAAGAAGAAGAAGAAGAAGAAGAAGAAGAAGAAGAAAAAGAAGAAGAAGAAGAAGATATGCATGTGAACACCCACATTCTAGTATTATCTATCTATCTATTGTCTTCTTCACTTTTACCGGGTTGCAGCCCAGTGTCGTGGTTTAAAATATTTGTTTTGTGCCTCTCGCGTGATTTGAGTGACAGTTTTTTGGATCTTCTGGCCGTATTCAGCTACTCCATCTACCCATTTTTTCCTGGGTCTTCCTCTGGCCTTTCTTCCCGATGTTCTACTGTAAAAGGCCTTACAGGCAATCTGATCCGGTTGCATTCTTACTAAATGGCCAAACCACTTCATTCTCTGTCTTTCAATATGTTCCATGCATGCTCTTGTTCCAACTTTGTCTCTAATGCTGACGTTTGTGACTCTCGTATAGAACAGAGTCTTTTTGTGTGTTTTGTTTACACATACCAGTGTTGAGGGAGGAAGGAACAACACAATCGACAGCTTCGACAAATAAGCAATACACAGAATGTTAAAGGATACATTTTTACTGACGCCGAAGAAATTAGAAACTTAAATTCAGAACCATGGCATTGATCGATACAAAAGTTCATTATGGAAAATTCTAAGAGGTGCAGGAATTTACGCCCCCATGATAAACAAATACAGAAATGCCTTTAGCTTCTACCATGTACTTGATTCACGTCGGTACTGCACAATTTGTTTTGTTGCCTAACTAAAATTATACAAATACCCCCCCCCCCCCACCCCCCGAAAAAAGCCAATTACAACAAACAAATCGTCTGTTTCCATAAGACTGGACAGTGTGTATATTATTTGTGTATCAAACATTAACGTCGAGATGAAAATAGGAAAACCACGTTTAGACGATAAGTATTATTCAGAAATAATCGAAAATACAGCTGTATGAATTAGAAAACGGATTAGTGTTTTAATTAAAAGGAGGATGACCATAGCAATGCAAATATTGAACAGCCTTAAAAGTCTATGGTTAAGCACCAGCAAGGAGATAAAAATTAGAATTTTGAGAGCATGCATCTTCCCTGTGGCTACATACGAATGTGAGTCGTGTACTATCTCTCAGTCCTTAAGAAGGAGAATGGGGGCTTTTGAGCTGAAATGCTATAGAAAGATTCTCAGAATATCTTGGACAAAGAAGAGGAGAAATACTGACATCTCAAAAGATCTGAACATCAAGGAAGATTGGCTAATAAACAGCATCCTTTCTCGGAAGCTGAAATATTTTGGTCATATCAAGCGCCACGACGGACTGGAAAAAAGAATAGCAGAAAGCATGGTACCTGGAAGGAGGGCAGGGGCCGACCGACACGAAGATTGGCACAGGATATAAGTGACGCCTTGAGTATGAAAGTACATGAGGCGGGAGAACTGGCGAGAGACAGAGTTTCTTTCAGGCAGACTGTGATGAGAGCGACGTTCTGCAAAGGACCTGCTACATGATGATGATGCATCACAAGACAAGTAAATTAAAACTCTTGCGTAACTGCAGGAAATAATAATAAAAAATGAAACCATTATAGAAAACTCATGAACATTTTATCTATATTGATATCGTCTTTATCATCTCACACAAACACAGAAATAAACTGTAAATCAGACACTCCTTAAACTGAAATCTTTTTTTTTTCTCTGTCAGCTCTTTGAATTACCTCACACTATGTTTTCCTGAGATAAACGAGAATGAGATAGACATAATTACAAGTGGAACGATAACATCAATGGATAGACTAAGAACAGTTTTTAAGATGGTACAGTGTAGGAAAGAAACGTGTTAGTTCAACTGTAGCCAGCCTACTTCGTAGAGATTGCACTTGCTGTATTAAATGATCTTGACGATAAGAAGTAGCGCACGAATGAAGAAGCTTGCCGGCTAGGATTTGATTACTATACCTGTTTCAGAATCACGACATCTCCGCTAATTCTGGCCAGCTGGTCTGGGGTCAGTGTGTTTATGTAGCGAGAGGATGGGATAAACAAGGTGACATTTCGCAGCGATGCCTTTAGCAGCTCTTTATACTCCATCAATGGCAACATCAATTGGTGAAAGAGCCTGTAAAAACACATTTCTGTAACTAGGATAGTGTGTGTGTGTGTATATATATATATATATATATATATATATATATATATATATATATATATATATATATATTTAGATAGATATGTGTGTGTGTGTGTGTGAAACATACATATAAGGCACGCCAACGTAGAGGGGGCATCGAGCCTGAGCCACGTATCTTTTAAAAATATAAATCTACAACTTCTCGTTTTTGAACATGGACCACTGAACGTGGATTACTGAACATGGACCACTGAACATGGACCACTGAACGTGGACCACTGAACATGGACCACTGAACATGGACCACTCAACACAGACCACTGAACATGGACCACTAAACATGGACCACTCAACACAGACCACTGAACATGGACCACTGAACATGGACTACTGAACGTGGACCACTGAGAATGGACCAGTAAACATGGACCACTGAGCACGGACCAGTAAACATGGACCACTGAGCATGGACCAGTAAACATGGACCACTGAGCATGGACCAGTAAACATGGACCACTGAGCATGGACCAGTAAACATGGACCACTGAGCATGGACCAGTAAACATGGACCAGTAAACATGGACCAGTAAACATGGACCAGTAAACATGGACCACTGAGCATGGACCAGTAAACATGGACCACTGAGCATGGACCAGTAAACAAGGACCACTGAGCATGGACCAGTAAACATGGGCCACTGCTCATGGACCAGTAAACATGGACCACTGAACATGGACCCCTGAATTTGGACCATTGAATATGGACCACTAAACATGGATCAATTTCTATAGGACACTGAAGTGCCACGCTGGCACGGTGACCACTAGGTCATCGTTAGGTTAGTTGCGTATCCTTTACAGGACGTTGCAGAACCAACCCCAGACAAAGTTATGTGGTTTTTTCTAGGCAATTTTACGTCCAGTAGTTTGCTATTGCCTCTGGACGGTAGGCTTTCTTGATACCACTGTCGAAACCAACACAAGGCAGCTGGGATCGAACCTGGCATCTCGGCATTACGAAGCGTTCGCATCGACTTAGCCACAGAGCCAACAGTTCATCGTAGCTCTCTTAATTGACAGTCTAGTTACCAACAAAGATAAGCTGTCTTTCTTATGCACGATGTGACTGCATGCATCTTTTGATCACTCATATTTTAATATCAGTATTATGACAATACAAAATACTTTTGGTAAGATGTTTGAGAAGATTATTGCTGTTAAACTACACATGATTTTGGAAAAAGAAGAACTCCAAAAGGTTTGGGTAGTTACCGGCCACGAAAAGATTGCTGGTCAAATGCAGCTACTTTTGCTTTTAATGTTTATGAGGGCCTTCTGAACAGACAGGAGACAGTTGTGTCAGCATTAGATTTTGAGTATGCCTACAATAATGTCAGGTATGATACTGTGGTATCCGCACTCATGGAGAAGGGAAGTTGTCACTTTCTTGTGAACTAAGAGATTTTGTGTATTTGTGTGGTATTGTTTGATTTGTGTATGTGCTGATAAAGGCTTCATAGTCGCAACGTTTACCTTATGTTCTTTATTTGTTATATTGTGAAGCTTGCTAATATGCTTTTCGTTCGGTTTCATATCTTTTCTTGGCTTGTGAGCTGAATAACATCTGTCCTGCATTCATGTATGATTGCCCTTCGTCGGAGTACATGAACCTCAGAACCATGTAATATCGCCTTGAAACTACTCGAGGGTAATGCAATTCCACCAGTGCTCTTCAATGTGTATACAAGCAAGATTGCAAAAGTTGAAGCACAGGTGTTGGAAGGATATTAACATTTGCTAATGATGTTCTTGCATATAGGCAGGGGAGTAATCGGCAATGATGACCTAATAAATAAAAGACAACTGTAGACAAAGTGACTGTCTGGTGTACAGAAAAGGGTAATGTCATAAATTCAGAAAAGGCGGCTATTTCGTGGTGCTCTCTGGACAATAGAATAGTAAGAGCTAATGTTCCAAGCCTCACAATAAATAACAATAACATCAAAAGAGAAAGCAAACTGAGGTACCTGGGTATCTCTTTCGATAGAAGCCTGCCCTATAGGGGTCGCGTGGAGGCAGTTGCGGTGAAACGCCCCCCTCCCCCCAGAAAAATCGATGCTCTCAAGATTATGCAAGCAATAAACATGGAGCAAAGAATGCTGTTCACAATGTTCCAGCATGTGATCCTGAAGGTGATAGATTAGAGACTTGGAATGCTTACCATATTAAAGTGTCAGCTGATAAAACTTTAACGCATACAGAATTATACCATGCGGGTAATTCCGGGATGTACAAGAGATATCCCGGTAGTTTATGTGCGATATATACTTGCACTGGCCTACTATTATAGGCTCAAAGTTCTGCAAGCAAAGTCACATCTCAGTGAAGATGCAGACAAAAAGCACCTCCTGCATAAAGCCGTGAGTAGATCTAAGGGTCCCAGACTGAAAAGAGGATGGCGCAAGCTGAAGACATATGTGCAGGCTTGATAATTTTGCGCGAGGTGAGGACTGGGTCAAAGTGTCCAAGCACGTTTCAGACTTGTGCAGGGTTCTTATCACTTTGGGTCGTGAGTGCAGGGTAAGAGGGAATGAACAAGCGAACTGACTTGCTGGCAGCGCCATGCTAGATACAGGAAAATCAATGGACCGAGCCGACATTCCCAAATGCTCTCAGGGAGGCAGGACGAGAAGATGATTGAGGTGACAACCTTCAATCGGCAACACTTAAGAGACTAAAAGAACTTCAGGTCAAACAAGGTGTCGCAAATCATGAACACTATACAGGTAGCCAAAGAAGAATAGTAAACCAACACAGTACTGGCATTATCAGTCGCCTGACGCTTGAGGATATACTGAAGATGGGTTCCGAGCGCTTAAGGACTTGCCCGGTGTGTAATAAGGATAATCTGTCGATTAATTATTAATTTCTTCGTCTTCTTCGAGTTCACCAGCTGTAAACTCTGGCGGAAAGTGCTGGTTGTTCATCCACGTTTGGACTGCAGTCCTGAGTGTTGCATGTGCATCCGTTTTACAGATCTGAGAACTATTAACTATAGGGCCATATATGGCTCATGAAGTTGCCATGAACTGTGTATATTAGAATTTTCATTATTATCACTGACATAAATTTGTCATAGTGGATTTGAACTATGGTCTTCTGCACGACAGTCCAGGGTTTTATCGACTGGCTTAGATACATAAAATCATCGTCATCATCAGTTTCCACTTCTGTGGTTAAACGACGTGGGGAAGAACAGTTTACGATCCATTGCTTGAGGAGCAGCATTGGCTACCGTCATTCCGTGTCGTTGTAGAAGCTCTTAGTGTCATCAATCCATGTTCTCATAGGGCGGCCTCTTGCTTTCACTTTAGATCTTGTCTTGTGTAGCGCCTGCGTTGGTAGCTGTTCTGGCTGCATTCTTGCTAAATGACCGAACCATGTGATCTTTTGTTTCTCTGTTATTTTGCTGCATGGTATTGTTTCTACAGTCTGTCTGATAATATCATTTCTAACTTTGTCTCGGATGGTTAAGCTAGCGGCTTTTCTCGAGCATCTCATTTAGCAGGTATTAATTTTCCGTAGGTTAGCTTTTGATAATGTCAGGTACTGGTAGCACATTGTTAGTATGGATATGCTGTTTATAATCTGTTTCTTTGATGTCCTAATAACGATGTCAGCTAGTATTTATTGTATATACTGACTCGCTGGCATCTTGTTTCCCGAACTATTCTTCTGTCCTCCGAGAATGTGCTCCCTGGATACTTAATTTGTTTAACTTGCTTCAGACAAGTACTTTTCAACCCGATATGTAGCAGACTAGGAATTTCCGCGTACCTGCATTACTTTAGTTAACAACAGTAAAAATTGTTAAAGTAAACATAAATAAGAAATAATGGTAAAGCCAAGACATACCGGACATCGTCCCTTGTAGACAAAACGTCAGCAACGCTTTCATATGGCACTGCCAGCACTCTGTTGATGATGTGTATCCACCCATTGACTGCCGGGATGTTTGCCTGCACAACCTCAGCCATAATATTATTGTTGGCTACAAAGACTGGGGACAGAAACAGAGTTAACTGTGCAATCTGACCAAATGGCTGGCTACCAGTGCGTCTCATTGTTAACTGACAAATAAAAAAAAAAAAAAACAATCTAAAAGATACGAAGACACCTTTGAATCATGACGCGCAACAGACAATTTGTGTCGGCTGCAAATGTTAACACATACATCAAAAACTTATGGTTGAGGCTGTCATTATTCTGAACGATTTTATTTTCTATATTTCATGCCCAAAATTTTAGGCCTGTTTTAAAGTTGTTTTTTTTTTTAAAGATAGGAAAGCAAAAATTTATGGGGAAATTACCGATCCTTAAATAGGATACATAAAAAAAAAATACTAGAGTATATGGACAACCACTGATATTCACAATTGTAAGAGAAAGAAGATAGAGTACGATGATATGTTTTACCATAATACTATAGAGCAATGATATATATATATATATATATATATATATATATATATATATATATATATATATATATATATCATATGACTCCTATAGGAACAATTTGTCCCTACGACAAAGGTTCGGGAGAGGTAAACTGCAGAGGTGTCGGATAGACTCCACACACCATATCGAAAAGACAGAAAGACAAAAATGCAATCTAGGAATCGACTGTGATACCTATGTGATGATTAAAACAGCACGATCGTTTAGGCAAGCCAGCTATTTAATGTACATATAATAAACAGACAATGTTTTGATCGGCACTTATAGAAAGTAGTAGAAAGATAAAAGGATTCACTAAACATTTAAAAAATCGAAAGCTATGGGTTTCAGTGCCAGGATTCGAACCTGTTACCCTGAAATGGCGTGTGCGCAACAATATCTAAAGAAGCGTACTAAAGCACATGACCAGCCAAGCACTCTTAAAAAGTTATCTTCATTGGCTATGTCTATCGTACAGCTTGAAATCCACAACTATGGAATACAGAAAGATTTCATCTCAAACCATTGAAATGGCACCATGGGTTACATAAATTTATATTAATCAAGCATAGGTCGAGTAAAACACACAGCAACAATTACAAACACAACAGACCGTAACGCTTTGTCCAGGATTTTTATGTTTTATAATATTTTAAGTGCCCCAGGGGTCTTCCTCCTCCCCATGTATTTATACATATAAACTGCTAGATACCACATGCCGGTACTTCACTTAAGAGCAATGTTCAGCTAAAAGCAGTTGTATAATTATGTCTGGCAGCATCAGGTAGCCGCAACGGTAGTTATTTGTTGTCTAGAGCACTAAAGCCCCCGCCCCCTTTCCCAAAGATGTATAGAAGTTCTCTTTCTCTAGTATTATAAAAAAAAAAAAAAAATAGATTTCATGTTATTTCAAAAATATTATTATATTAAATTTTTATTGTTAGATGCGCTCTTAGAAAGGCAACGCATCCTACCAATCGTCCAGGGCAGTGATTTCCAAACTGTGCGCCGCGGCGCCCTGGGAGGCCGCGACCTTTTTAAATACTCTTAAATATTTGAAGATATACGAGTTTTTATTTTAATCTTTTTCATACGAATAGTCATACTTTTACTTAGGTTAGGGAGCCGTGGAGAAATTGTAATTAAAAAAAAAAAAAAAAAAAGCGACTAAGAAAAGTTTGGGAAACATCTGCCTAGGGTGTATGACTTGCATATTGAGTTGGGCCTATCTGCACTCTAATCAGACGGCCGAACCACCTCATTCCCAGCCTGTCAATATAATACAGACATGGTCCCACTCAAACCACACACAAGAGCTTCATCGGACATTAAAATGACTGTTGGGTTCCTACAGGAAGTCGAGGAGAATCTAATGACAATAAGTGCACCACATCAAGCCAGGCGCATAAAACATCGTGACAACCACAATATATCAGGCATATATTACCTGTCCTATGGTCACCACTAACATTGTCTACAAGTACTGTGATACAAAACACGACACAATTGTTATCTTATTCTGCGATCAGTGTGATATTATGGTGATGAATGCTCACTGTCAGTCTACAACTCCTGCCAAGTACACTCACATTGGCAGTCTCCATACATGAATAAAGCACCCTAGCAAACTAAATACAAGGTGGCTGCAGCGGGCGACTCACGCCTGATCTCGCAGATACAGCTACGCGATGTTCAGGAACAGTTCTCTGACGGTTCCCTATTCAAGCGACCCTGCCACCCCAGGGCCAAAGGCAGAATGCACCACTTTGTGAAAGGAATCCGAACCTCCCGCTTGCTACCTATTCACTCATTGAAGTAGCACTGATCACCATCCCGTTAACCACTTGATCGATACCTCCCGATCACAATTTTACATTGGTCAACACACACAAAGCTACCACAGCACCTTCTGTACACTTAAGGACACCCCTTCAACTAGCGTGCCAAATGGCCGCAACTTTGCCGACCTCCAACACACATAAGCCGCGCAACCATTCATTCTAGAAATCACATTGACAGAATTTCGCAGGCCAACTCATGATCCACCAGTCATACAGACAGTTCTCACGAACATGTGTACCCTAGCTGCACAAAGCCCTAGCTTAATTAACTCTTTATACACCACAGTGACTTTGGCAAACAACAGTCTTCAATTACATTCATTATTATTATTATTAGGCACCCATCTATCAATGAATTTTAGTATTAAGGCAGCGCATATCGAGTTGGCTTATCTGCACTCTCATCAGGCGGCCGAACCACCTCATTCCCAGCCTATCAATATAATACAGACATGGTCCCACTCAAACCCTCTCTCCAATACTGGCATTCGCACGAAGACCCCTTTTTTTGCCACTAGTGACCCCGTGGAGACAGTGCACCTTGCATGTCGTTATTTTCTGTTCCATTGGCCCCCCATTGTCCACGTTTAGCACTAATAACACGAAGTAGGGACAGGGATGCCACCGATGATTTGCTGCCTCGCTGGAAGGGAGACACCCGGGTACCAAGCAGCAGGTCAAAGCAGTAGATGACAACACCCAACCCCTGCACTCTGGGTTCTTCGAATGTTTTTCGCTCTAAACACACCGTGAATGGCCGTTCCTTCATGATTCCTCACGTACTAGTCTAATTTACAGGGAAGTCACGTAGTGTTCTCTTCAAAGCTATCAGCGTCGTGTTTATATTACCCGATCTGACCGTTTTTTTTAACAACCCCACAACATCTATAACTGGCCCTTACCCCAACCCCTACCCAACAGCCTCAACGTCCCACGAAAGAGTGCAGATTATGTCCTGTGGTTTCAGAATTATCAACATTTTGCGTCGGGAGCTAAAAAGTCGTCTTGCTGCAGAAAAGCAACGTTGTTCTTCTTGTGGCTTCTCAAAGCTCACAGCTAGGTAAATTCGTGTCCTACTTGAAATCCTGAAAAGCTATAATACACGAAATCTCAACGGACCCTCACACCAACCAAAACACGGCGAGCAATATACACGGCTTGTAAGAACGAATACCACTGTCACTGAGACTAGCCAGGCTGACAGTTCACTAATCAAGAATCGATGGCCAGTCACGGTGTGCAAAACATGCTTCCTAAATATTTGAACTCCCACGCCTGCCTGACTGTGGTACCGCCAACATAAGCACAAATAATTGCATAGTACTGAATATGACAAGTCGTCAGTTTTTGTCTATCTGTCTGTCTTTCTTTCTGTCTTTCTTTCTTTCTTTCTTTCTTTCTTTCTTTCTTTCTTTCTTTCTTTCTTTCTTTCTTTCTTTCTTTCTTTCTTTCTTTCTTTCTTTCTTTCTTTCTTTCTTTCTTTCTTTCTTTCTTTCTTTCTTTCTTTCTTTCTTTCTTTCTTTCTTTCTTTCTTTCTTTCTTTCTTTCTTTCTTTCTTTCTTTCTTTCTTTCTTTCTTTCTTTCTTTCTTTCTTTCTTTCTTTCTTTCCTTCTTTCTATCTTTCTATCTTTCTATCTTTCTTTCTTTCTTTCTTTCTTTCTTTCTTTCTTTCTTTCTTTCTTTCTTTCTTTCTTTCTTTCTTTCTTTCTTTCTTTCTTTCTTTCTTTCTTTCTTTCTTTCTTTCTTTCTTTCAAGTTTTTCTGTATGTCCTTTCTTATGCCTTCATATCCTTCAAAAGTTCATGGTTCTTTTAAGTATATTTATTTCAGTGCTACTCTAATAGACACTTTAGGGTAGTTTGTGGTAGTTCCATAACCGTTCTTTTAGACACTTTGTAGTGAGTACCGGCACCTTTTTTTTCTAGAGAAAAAAGCCCTGTTATATAGGCTGTATTTGTTTTAAATACAAATCTGGGTTAGATTATAGCTGCATTATACATGTATGTGCGTGTGGCTACGCGTGGTGAACAACAAACTGAAAATATATTCTCTACCACAAACACGCTGTTACAGCACACACAACACAGCAGACCTACTTTTACCATCTTTTCTGAGCACATAAATAAAGTTGTTGATGGCAGGAAGCATGCTGCCTGATGGTATCTCGTCCAGCGTTCGAGATTCATCTTTCACAATATGCGCCCTAACCACCTGGATACAAGTGTAAGGTGAACGCAATAGTGTCATGCTTTAGCATATGGTTGTAATATATATATATATATATTTAATATATTATTATTTGTAAATATGTATATGTATATATGTGTGTGTGCGTTTTGTGCACAGATTACCCTACTAGTTTTGAATGTAGAATTAAGAATCAATCTTACAGCACTCGGGTCATTCCAATAAGCGCTGCGGTTCCATCTGCAGCATAACGATCCAGTTCCGATAATATCAGTAACACTCTGTCTGATTGTACATCTGATGTATGATTGTACATCTGATGTCTGATTGTACATCTGATGTCTGATTGTACATCTGTCTGCCCCTTTTTTTAGTTTTCAAGGTCAGCCAGACCTCCTGGTCACTACTAGCAGCGCCACTCTTCTGAGACCGTAATGAACTATTTGTGCCTTTGCACTGTTCAAAGGTTTCCAAAGGACCCATAGTATACCTGGCTTGTCATGCATCAGTACACCACACCAAGCGGTGCAGAACCGTACAGTCTATCTGCCGGATAGTTTCCCAGTAAGGGCTTGCATATGTCCATACCACCACATAACATTATAAACGTATGTGTGAGTGTGTGTGTGTGCGTGCGTGCGTGTGTGTGTGTATGTGTGTGTGTGTATGTGTGTGTGTGTGTCTGTCTGTCTGTCTGTATGCATGTATGCATGTGTGCGTGTGTGCGTGTGTGCATGTGCGCATGTGTACATGTGTGCATGCATGCATGCATGTGTGCATGTGTGCATGTGTGTATGTGTGCATGTGTGCATGTGTGCATGTCTGCATATGTATGTATGTATGTATGTATGTATGTATGTATGTATGTATGTATGTATGTATGTATGTATGTATGTATGTATGTATGTATGTATGTATGTATGTATGTATGTATGTATGTATGTATGTATGTATGTATGTATGTATGTATGTATGTATGTATGTATGGATGAATGGATGGATGGGTCGGTGGGTGGATGGGTGGGTGGATGGATGGATGGATGGATGCATGCATGCATGCATACATGCGTGTACATACCTGTGCATATGCGTATGTATTTGTGTTTATGTTTAAGTACATATGTATATGTGTGTATTTATGTTTGTGTGTGTAAGTGCTCGTTTGTAACACCGTTGACAAGCAGGCATTTAGACAAGAACTGACAAACCTGTTCACTGAAGTTGCGATTGAACATTTGCTCGTGTGTATGCCAGGGGAGGTAACTGTACGAACTGTTGTTGGGTACAAACACAGTGTAGTTAGAGGCCATGGAATTCAGATCGTAGTGGTCGTCCGTGTGCATGGAAATCAGAACGTTGGAATATCTGGAAATAAATCATACTGTCAGTGAAACAACAGGCAGTGAGAGAATGGCAGTTGGTGAACTTTATATTTAATGGGACGATTTGTCAGCACTGCATTTGTAGCTGATAAAATTGTCAATA